AGCGGGGCGGGGGGAGAGCGAGCTGCCGCGAGCGCAGGATGCGGTGCTGGTGCGCGCCGAGTCCTCCCCGCGCCCGGCTCTGAAGGTCGGTTGTCTAAGAAAGCACCCTGTGTGGGGGACAAAGAGACAGAGAGACACAGAGAATCACACAATTAAAAAGAGATACATGGGAGAGGACAGGAGATACAAAGACCGAGAGATGCAAACAGAGAGAAAGAGAGCAGACGCACACACCAAAGAGACAGACGGAGACAGAGACAGAGACAGAGACAGAGACAAAGACAGAGACAGAGACAGAGAGGGAAAGGAGGAAGAAAGGGTAGAGTGGGAGAGGGAGAAATTAGGGGACACGTGGGATCTGGACTTTGACCTTGACCTCTGGCAAATGCCTCCCACTCTCTGGGCCTCCACTTTCTCATCTGTACAGTGTGGGAAGGGGACAGTTTTCAGAATATATGGGCCACCACCAGTTTACAGACTGTTTTGTGTGACTCCCGAAGTTTTTTTTATTTTATTTTAAAAAAACAAAACAAAACAAAAACAGAATAACCAACATTTAAAAACCAGGATAGTTCAGATAAAATGTGGATTTATGATTTCTCTTGAAAATCTCTTGGAAAAGAGTGGACCTACCCCTTCCTCCTGACAACAGCCAGCTAGAGCTGAATCTGGTTGCCCCTGATCACCACACTCCACTACTCCCTACTGTCTTCCAGCATGTTGCCCCAGTCACCAAGAAGGGACATTGGAGTTTGTGGTAGACTCTAGACCAGAAATCTATTGGGGTCTACCCTACCCAAGCAAAGGAGTGGAGGGATTGTTGGGAGGAGAAAAGCACAGATGCCAAGGAGCTTGTCCCCCAATCCCTCCCCAAAGTCATATGATAACTTGGAAGAGAACCCTGCCACATCTAATCCTGGGCACAGCCTCCAACCTGAAGCAGTTAATGGCTCCCTTGTCAGTTTTGGAGCTACAGAAGTTAGCCAGGCCAACTTAAAGGGAACCATATTTTTGACAGAACATTTGTGAAGGCATCTCCTTTCTCTGGACAATCCTAACATTATTCTGCCTCCACATTCAAAATTTCTTCAGCCTAATGCTTTGAGTATCTGTTGTATGCTCAGACCATGCTAGTAGTTTGGCAAGGGATGCCAAAGTGTTTAATTATTATTCCTTCCCTTGGCAGAGCACCCAACCTTCCTGGCAGATCCACCATCTCATTGCGTCTTCACATCACCCGGCAAGATAAACAAGGTAAAGCCTGTTAGTCCCACTTTACAGATAGAGACACAGAGGCCTGGGGAGGCAGAAGGACTTTGAAGGGCAGAGGTGGAAGGGAACTTTCAGATCACCAGCTAAAGAGTCCTCTTTTCATTTTTAGATGACGAAATGAGGCCTGGAAAGATGGGCTGATCGGCTTCCCAACTCCCAGACACACTTCGTGCCACCAAGTTTAGATGGTTGGTGGGGTAGATTGCAAACCTGAAACCCCAGACTTGGTCTTTCAGCCAGACTCCAGAATTTGAAGAGATGCCAACCTAGCTAAGCATTTAATCAGACAGACCTATTATTTTTCACATACAGTGGTGGAGGTGTAAATTGATACAACCTCTTTAGGTGGCAACCTGAAAATTTAACACATATGTACCTTCCACAAGACAATTCCATTTCTCAGAATGCATCGTACAGATACCCACACTTGTGCATGAGGATGTGTACACAGTGTATTCAGTGCAGCGCGGTTTATAGAAGCCAGAACTGGAAACAGCCTGCATGTCTGTCCACCAGGAGGCGCTCTCTTAAATCAACTAGGGCCCATTCAAAACTATGGGATACTATTGCAGCTTTAGAAGATTGAGGCTGTTCCATTTGTACAGATACAGAACAAGCTCCAGGAAAAAAAGTGAAAAAAGCAGAGCAAAGAACAATGTGTACATCATGTACATCTGTGTGACGGCATGGGAGATGCACTGGTAATGCAGAGACTCTCTGTTGGGGTGCACAAGTACAATGCAGAAGGGGAGCTGGGGAGCCTAGGCAGGGGAGAACAGTGCAGGGGGGCTTGCTTAGTGCTGTTTGAATTTTTTCTCTGTGCGGCATTACCTAACCACAAACTAACAAACAGCGTTAAAAAACAAAACAAAATCTCTCTGAGTCTGGGGCTCAGGAGTATAAGTGTGGATAGACAGAAAAGTTGCCTGGTGGAGGGTGAGGAAGCTGGAACATCACCCCCTGGTGCGCCCATTGGATGCATTTCTATAACCAGGGAATTGAGTCGCCTGTTAGGAGGAGAGTCCTAGACAGCTGGGGAGGAGGAAAGGGTGGAAAGAGGGTGATACAGGCACCTGAAGTGTCCTCAGCAAACCAGCTCTCTCCCTCCCTCCCTCCTTTCTCTCTTTTTCCCTCTCTTCCTTCTTTTCCTCAGCAAATACTCACTGAACCCCTAGTATGTAACAGGAACTGTTCTAGACCTTGGGCACTGTATTAACTATGTGTTTCTGTTGCTCTGACCTCTAGGATCTTGATGACTCTGGAGAGACTGCCTCTCCCAAAGTTAACTAATTCCTAGAGATAAGTAAAGAACTCACCTGGAAGTACCTTTCATATGCAAACAAACCAATCCAGAGCCCACAGCCCTATCACTCTTTAGATTACTATCTTCTCCCCCTGATCATCCAGTGCCAGGTAGCAGGCAACTAGGGACACAGCCCCTATGCCCCAGAGCTCACTGAAATTATTGAAACTAGCTGATCCGAAACCTTCTGACCCACCTGGCCCTTCCTTCCTGCAGAAACCGCAGTAAAGGCTCTTGCCCGTTTTCCCGTTCTTCCAGCTCCTTCTGCCTCCCGATGGACCCTGGTGCTTCCCCATGTGGCCTTGCATGGTGTGGTTTGCCCTCTCTTCTTAAGAACTGTGAGTAATAAACTGCCTTTCTAAAAGTAGTCATCTCCTGATCAACTGGCCTCACCATGCCCAAAACCTACATTTATTTATTTTTTAATTTTTTATTTTTAAATATATCTTTATTGATTTCAGAGAGAGGAAAGGAGAGGGAGAGAGAGAGACAGAAACATCAATGATGAGAGAGTCATTGATCGGCTGCAGCCTGCAACCCGGGCATGTGCCCTGACCTGGAATCGAACTCCGATCGCCTGGATCCTAGGTCGACGCTCAACCACTGAGCGACGCCCGGTCGGGCCCAAAACCTACATTTAAAACAGGGAGCTGAGCCCTGGCTGGGTGGCTCAGTTGATTGGAGCATCGCCCCAAGCAACAAAAGGTTGCAGGTTCGATTCCCAGTCATCAGGGCACATACCTAGGTTGCAGGTTCAATTCCCAGCCCAGGCACATACAGGAGGCAACTGATCAATGTTTTTCTCTCACATCGATATTTTTCTCTCTCTTTCTCCCTCTCTCTCTTGCCCCCCTTCCTCTCTCTCTAAAAAAAATCAATAAATACATATCCTCGGTGAGGATTTTTTAAAAAAACAAAAACTAGGAGCTGAGAGTTCAGTCATAATGTTGCGTATATTTTTTAATTTCTTTTTTCCTCTGACAATACAAATGTGTTTGTACTTTAGTTGCTTATCAGATTAATACAGCTATGCTTTTGAAAATGAATAATGGGATAATTTAATGGTGAATTTGTGCGCTATTTCTAACTCCCAGTGCCCACCCCACCACAACACACACACACACACACACGCACACACCCCTTCCTACAGGAGGTCTGTTGAGTTTCTGGGTGGGTTCTGATGTTCCAGACCCAGCCTCCCTAAGTTCCCTCTCACAGCCCCTCTGCTCCCTGTTCAGATATTTTAGGGTCTTCATCAACCCTGAGCTACAGAAGGGCCTGAGTTGCCCCTCCCAGCTTATCTTTTAATATTTTAAAAATATGTTTTTATTGATTTTAGAGAGAGAGGAAGGGAGGAGAGAGAGAAAAACATCGATGTGAGAAAAATCGATAGACCACCTCTCATATGCACCCCGACTGGGGACGAACACAAAACCCAGGCATGGTGACCCCCCCCGTGCATTGGAGGATGCAAACAACTGAGCCACACCTGCTAAGGCACCGTTTTTTTTAATGGTGTTTTTTAAATTAAACTTTTAATTTTGAGATCATTGTAGAGTCACATGCAATTATAAGAAATAATTCAAAGATATTATGAGTACCTTTCACCCAGCTTCTCCTAATGGTTACATCTTACAAAACTGTATACTAGTGCAATATCACAACCAGGATATTGACACTGATACAATCCTCTGATCTTATTCCGAGCACCCCAGTTTTACTTGCACTCATTTGTGTGTGTGTGTATGTGTGTGTGTGTGTGCAGTTTGTTCTATGCAACTTTATCATGTGTAGGTTTGTGTGTATACCACATGGTGGGTTTTTTTTTTAAAAAGTGGTACTTTATATGTACTCAGTTCTTTCCTTTATAGTCTGCTTTTATTGTCAAAATAATGAAGGTCTTCTTTTCTCCAAAATCATAAAACTATCTCAGGAATTCAGGATGATGAGTCCATTTCGTGCCTGCCTTTTCTCCACAGAAACCTGCTCCAGAAATTTCTCTAATCCAGATTCCCCCTTACCTATCAACTTCGTTGATGCCAAATCCACTGGAAACTTTGCAGTTCTCATTTTCATCTCTGATTTATTTCTCTACTCAACAAACATTTCCAGTATATTCACAGGTGTCGAGCATGGTTCTAGACCCGGGGCACACAATGGATCTGGGTTTGGGTTGGTGTACAAGACAAGAAAAAGGTGAGAAGGGGTCAGCTATTACGGGGCCTTGCTGCCATTGGAGAGTAAGAAGTTTGGGTTTATTCTCAAGACAATGGGAAAATAGAGGGTTTAAGGCAGAGGTGAGGTGTGATCTGATTTAATCTCTCAGACCATCCATCCCTCTGGCTACTTGGTGAACGATGAGTGTACAGAGGCAAGAGGGAAATATCCAAGCCAAGTGAGAAGCCTCCAGGAAACCCTTGCCCCTGCCTCCCTCACCCGTTCTGCCCACCTCTCCTCTCGGGTTGTCCTCCTGCTCTGCCTGCCAGGGAAGTGAATGTGCTCCTCCAGGCTCAACATGAGCCTGCTCTCACCCCATGCACCTTCCCACGTCTCTTTGTCCCCTGCACTCTGCCTGGCCATATGCTTCTCCATAGAAAACTGCACAATCCTCAGAAAGAGCCCCATCCCTGGGTGATCCCCCTTACCACCTGCCAAGTGAGAGAAAACACAACCTAAACTGGCATAAGCAAAATGAAAAGGGGATGTAATGCTGCTTGTAACCAACAGCAGAGATTTAGGACCAGCTGCAGGTATGGCAGACTCCCAAGGCTCGAATGGTGCCATGAGGGGTCTGTCCTTTTACTCCATTTGTTACTCTACTTGCCTCTAGGTGGTTTCATTCTCAGGCTGACTGTCCTCAAAGGTGGAGAAATGGCCATAGGCATCCTCAGGATCAAATTTTCTCAGCACAGTTACCCTAAAAGCAAAAAAGTCCTCTCTTTCCTAAAAGTTCCAGGGGTCAGCTCTCCTTGGCTCAGCTTGGGTCACATGATCATTCTTGGACTGGTCCCTATAATTCAGATTGGCCAACCCTAGGGCTGGGGGGTGCAGTCAATCTTATCTGAACAGCATGGACTGAGGGGCTTCTCCAAAGACATACTGGGGTTCACCTACTAGAAGAGGAGCTGAATGCCGAGCCGGTCAAAAACAACACAGGTCTCCTACGTACCCATTGCATGCGTGAGGAAACCAAGACTCAGAGAAGGGAAAGTCTTGCCTGCATCCCTCAGTGAATTAGCAACACCCTCAAGACCAGTGCCCTATCCAATGTCTTTTCTTCACACTGCCTGGGTCAGGGTTTTCTCTAAAGGAACTAAAAGTAACTAAACTCTGGCTGGAAGACTGGGTTTTACCTTTCACCCCACATCCCAGCCCCACCCTCAGGATCTTATTCTGGTCTTGGTGGCCTTAAATTGCCATTCATAGAGTATCATCTTTTATGGCAACTTTGGAGAAACCTGCCTCCAAATAGCATTAAGCCTCTGAGAAATGACCCTCTAATGGAGTGGTTTCAGACACCATGGAAGGCAGGGTGTGCTCTTTGATTCCATGCAGGCCACCCTTGGTCACCGCCCAGCTGCCAGCAAAGAAGAGCCAACTCAGTTTATTCCCTCCAGGACCCTTCAATTCCATACATGTTTATTAAGTGCCAACTGTGTGTAGGCCATGCGATAGGTGTCCAGGAATACAGGGGAGAGCAAACCTTGCCCGGTTCCATGCTGCTTATAGGATCAACTCCTTAGCTTGGCGTTCAAGACCTTTTATAATTTGGATATGGATCTAATCTAAGCTTCTCTCCTGACAGCACTCCCCTGACTCCGTGTCCAGATCCCACCCCCACTCCCCAACATCAACCAAAGAAACCCATTTTAGGGACATTCTATGCAATTCCACACCTTGTTTTTGCCCCTTTCCTTACCCCCACTACCTTTGGGCCACTTACTCATTCTTAAAAGCCTATTGCAAATGTCCATTAATTAATCTATTCATTTACCCTTTCATTTGTTCATTTAATAAACATTCCCTTAGCAGGTAATATGGTGAGTTTTAGAGTCACTAAGAGGATCCAGGCAGGAACGCTCCTCTAAAGATGTTAGCAGCCTGGGAGGGGAAGGCTGTGGCCACATAAATTACATTACCGTGTACCATGTGCTCAAAGGCTCCAAGAGAGTGGGCATAGGTCCAACCTGTAGGGTCAGGGATAGCTTGTTGGACCCATCTTGGGGTTACTTTGGATGCAAGGGCATGCCAGAAAGCTTTCTCTGACCACCCTGGCTGGAACAGGTGCCCATCACACTTTCTCTTCTTCCCCAGCCTTTATCAAGTAAAATTAAGTATTTCTTCATTCTTTATTGTCTGCCTTCCACACCAGCTTCATGTGGACAGCTACTTGTTCCCTACTGTTTATCCAGTTCCTGACACATAGATGACACTTGGTAAATATTTGCTAAATGAATGACTACATGAATAAATGCATTTAGCCTAGAGCTGCCTGGGCCTGTCTTTTGAGGTGAGAGAGCACAAGGGTAGCCTCCCTCTATCACTGCTGGACAACACATTAGAGAGTCAAGATATTTACCAGAAGGAGAAACAGACAAACTAGGGAGCAGTCTTGGAGGTGTGCAAGGAGAGATCTGAAGGCCAGAGCAATCAAGAGAAAACTTCCTGAAGGCAGAAAGACAGAAGCCGGGCCCTATAGCATGGGAGAGCCCAGAGAAGCAGAATTGGAAGCAGATGAGCTCAAGCTGATCGAAGACCTGCTTCCTGTCCCCTTCCTAAGCAGAACTGCCTGGTCTCCTGCCCTCCCTGCCACTCCCCAGAGCAACATGGTCCAGAGATGGACAATGTCCAGGCTGTTGAGGCTGCTCACTCACTGTGAGATGCCAGGCAGAGTCTGCCCCTGTCTGGGCTCAGGACCAGGCCAGGCTTCCACACTCACAGTCTAGACTGACAAGCTGAAGCCATGAGCCCCCACCAACCCAGACCCTATGCCCACTATGAGGTCTTACATTCATGCTGAGAGGCCAATTGCAGGCCTGTGTGGTCCAGATTGCTTCCAAAGAACAATTTTCTGCCCAGCTGGAAATTGCTGAGAGCAGCTCATGCTCAGGGAGGGCACTAGGGGTTGAGGGACGCCACTATCCGACCGGGCTGGCATGGAGCTGAATACAAGGAGCGATTTCTGGAGTGTGATGTATTCAGCTGACATGGACATGTGCACATATACATGTGCACATATACATACATGTGTATGGTGTGTATACATTCATACATAACTATGCTTTGGTGTGCACATGTGCGTGTGTGTTTGTGCCCAGGTATACTGGTCAATGTGTACATGTGTGGCACATGTATCTGTGGCTTAGTTTGGGGCAGGGTCTAGTGATCATCTTCAGTCCAGTTGGTTACTGGTAAGGAAACATGGCTCTAGATCTAATGTTCCACCCATGAATAAGACATCCTCACTGCCTCCTTCAAAACTTACTTGTTTACTCTTCCATTTTCTGTTCTCTGCAATTTTGGTAAATTAGTATGTGTTACCACAATGGGAAGGAATCTCCTTCCATGTGTGTTCGTTTCCCACAGAGCTTAGCACATGGTGGGTGCTGAGGAGAAGATGGACACTGGAGAGGGACAACAGAGAAGGAATGGTGTTTTAAAACAAACTCCTGGGTGCCCTAAACACATTCTCAATTCACACAGCCCTATGAAGTGAAAATGACTCTGTCTATTTAAAGGAACGAAGGCACATATCATAGAATTGTACACTTGAAATCTATATAATATTATTAACCAATGTCACCCCAATTGATTTAATTTAAAAATAATAAAAAATAAATAAATTTTATTTTTCAATTACAAAAAATAAATGAATAAAATAAAGAAATGAAGGCTCAGAGAGGTGAAGTGACTTATTCAAAGTCACACAGCCAGGAAATAGAGGAACTTGCTTGGATTTGAACTCAAGTATGTGTTATTCCAGAGCTTTTTCCACTCTCCCCCCTGGAAGGGAATATGCGCAGATAAAAACAGCCAACGCATTAGGAACAGGATGAATACAGGGAATTTTTTTCCTTTTGTAAAGTTGTCTTTATCTTTCGGTTACATCTTCTCCTCACTAAATTAAAGGAACTTGTATTTTTAATAGAAAGTATTTTGAAGGAATAAATATCTGAAGCCACTTTTCAACCCAGTACCTCATGTCCCTAAGCCCGTAATAGAGAAAGTGAGACTCTGGCTTTTGAAATATCATGAAGCTTATCTTTGGATCATCTCTGGAGGATGTCTGCTAATTCTGGTGAGGACGGAAGTGCTTTGGGTGGGCTGGGGTAGGGGCGGGTGACAGGCTGCTTGCTGTCTGTGAGCTACAGTCACTGGCGGATAAGACACCTCCTCATCCATCAGGCCCACTAGAGATAACAAGTCCCCACCCCTGCCATCGCCTCTCTTATTACAGGAGAAAAATGAAAACCAACTCCAAATCACCTTGCTCATTTAAGTGTATTTATCTCTTTGTCAGCCACAAGCAGGCTCTATCCTAATGTTCTGAGCTAATTAGAGCTTGTTCTCAGAATACATGGAGTCCACACCCTGCATATTGCAAGTGGGGGCGTAGGTATTAATCTGCTAACATTGGGCCATGAGTCAGGGTGACAGCAGGTGGAGGAGGAGGGGTCCAGTGGGTGCTGATGGGGACCTTCAGTTTGGTCCAACAAGATGCCCACTACCCCTCCTGAGAATCCAAATGTCCCTTCTCATGTCCCATGAGGACCCACTTTTGGGTCAGGAGTGGACGCCATAGTCCTTTGGCTGCCTGAATCCACCTTTTGAATTCCAGTCAGCAGAAGGACCCCTCTTTCTTTCTGGGGAGTAACCTTATCTCTGCCCTGTGTGGCCTTGATGGGATGCCAGTCACAGTGCCCCACATCCCAGTACAAGGGATCAGTATGTGGCCCAAGTTTGGCTTATGGAATCCACTCTCTCCTGGGGCTTAGACTCTTGGGTGGAGAGATGCCAGAGTTGTTGGGAGGACATTTATGCCAGTAGCAGTGACAGCACTGGGACAAGATGGTTGA